GGGGGGGTACCCCTCGGTCTCATTTCTTGCCGGGTATATACAGAGCAGCTAGGAACACGTGGGCTGACCATGTTCACTCTCCAGGCAGCAGCTAGGAACACGTGGGCTGACCATGTTCAGTCTCCAGGCATCTCCTATTCCCCCTTTCTTCGGCTGCAGATTGAGGGAGGAAGTGACTTAACTCACCCAAATTTGGGAATTTTATAAAACAAGGTTCAGCTCTAGCTTCGAATCTGATAATACACTGTACATGTATATTTACTTGGGTGTCTAACTGTCACTGTGCTGGCTGTAGATATTGATAAATTCCCACTTGTCTTATTTTCTTTGCGGGGGAGGGGCGTCATGTGGTAGGATGGCTCTGTGGAGGTGCTGGTCACTTGTTCCGTCTCGCCATTCACTGGCTTTTTAGCATGTTGCTTTTTTATACCCGTCATCTGATTGTTGTGTCATGCCAAATGTTTTATGTATATGTTTTAATGTATTTTTCTTCTTTTTTTTGTCCTGTTTTACAATAGCCAGTGGAAAAGTGTAATAAAATAAATTAAAAATAAAACCAGACGCCGATGGACGGTCGCAGTCTCTATTTGAGAATTTGTGATGCGCCCGCACTGCACAAAACTAACGCAGACCGCCCCCGGATACAACAAGCAGGCTCGGGCTCACTCAATCTTGCGGCATCACCGGTGCGCGTGGTTCATTAGCTGACACGGATCTCGGCGCAGACATCCAACCACCCGAGCTCTCTGAGTACACCCAGCATCAGCTCGTGTAGACTTTCCGGGTGATCATAATTATTCAGCCCAAGTGTCTTATCTCCTGCAAGATTCTGCCTTGCACCTATTCGTGCAGGAAAGTCGATTGATTCGTTTCGTCGCGAAGGATCTCGTCTCGCTTTCATCATGGCACAGTGGGGTTATACTGGCGATAAAGGTAAAGCGTTTTTCTCGTAAGTCTAAAATTGCCAGTAAATTAGGTGCTTGATCAAACTTACATTTTTTACCCTTTACGGCCATGTTTACATTTTATAAAATACTGTATCTTGGAGAAAGCCTGTTATAGATAACGTATTGTTAGTTGTGTGGGAAAACAGTAGCATAGTAAACCGTTTGTTTTTCAGATAATTGCAATGTCACACCATCACAGTTTTCATGGTATTTGGTAAAGTATGCAACGTCAGGAATTCTGCCTTTCCTTCCTTTCAGAGTAATTTTACCAGAGCACCTGGCAATATACGAATCACCGGCCGCTCGTATTACGCACATAGCAGTACATTATTGTCACCCCCCCTTTACAGCAAATATTTACGCCACGGGTTGTGGGCCGGGATGGAACCCCATAGCTCTATCCCCCCCCAAAAAAAGTGGGGGATATATATCCCCATCCCCTGGGATTTACGACCATACCCACAACTGATATTACTTTAAGGCCTTCATTTCTCAGTTCACATTAGTTTTACAAATAGCGAATCATCCGGTCCACCACGCATATAATTAAAGCTTATGACAAGTGTACCTCGGATAATTTTCTTTATCCAGCCACAGCAGTTTTTAAATTTTCCGGGTGACTTTTTTGTTGCTTTTTTAAAATTAAATTTGGGATCATGTTTGTTGGGGTTTATATGAACAAAAAAGATCAACCACACTCTTACTTGTAAATCTCTGTCTCATTTCATAAGTCATCCCATTTGTTTCTTGCCACAACCTCTTTTCCACCTGATGTTGGGTTAGGACTTGAGAGTGAGTAACATTCTTATCGAATCCAAGCTTTGTTCCACACGGGACTTTCAACGTTCTCATAAGCAGGAAGACTGAATTTGGGCAAAATTGCCGATAGATTTGGTTCCCTCCCCCCCCACCTTGTTGATGTAATTAGTGGCCCTTATAAGAAAAAGCCCCATCACGTCCGCAATCGTGCGTACAGCGTCACTTTTAATTCCCATGGAGACGCAACGAGCGCTACTCCAACAGACAGGTTACATCATGTCAACACAAAGCGCAGTAGTGAAGTGCAGGGTATAATAATAAAGGATATGTACATGTAATTATTGCTTTCGACCTGTACATGTGCTGGGTCTATAGGCTGATATAGGCTCAGCACCGCAGATTTACCAAGCAATATCCGGATCCCCTACTTTAAAGCAAACTGGGCTCAGGCCAGTTGTGAGTAGTCTCATAAACTGTTTCTTATTTCATTTTGTTTATCAGGTGTGTTTAATTAATCTGTTTGGGCTTGCTTATTATTCAACCGCACATACCTCTGTGTTTTTTTTGTGATTTTCGCAGCCCAAAGCTATTCAAATTCTACTTCCAGTATTTGCCCAAAGGTACGACATATCGATCTTTACAAGGCGAAACGAAAACGGTGTATTTTCTCCTTTTTCTCTAACTGCATCATTTCTTCCTGCTTGAGAAGACAATCGATTTTGTAAGATAAATAAAATAAAATCGCATCTGACTAGGTCAAAAAATGAAAAAGTATGTTGTAAAAAATTATGTTATTTATTGCAAAAATATTGTATCCTTCAGACACAGTAACTATTGTGTGGATTTTGCTTACTTCCTTACTTAAACCAAAAGTGCATGGACGTGCACCGCCATTTAAATTTTGCACAGCTCGGCAAACGCTTCCATAGCAGCAAATTCGATTTAGGAAAAACGCCGTGAGCTCGACTTTTATTTCCTTTTGCCATGGATGGGGTGAATACTGTCAAAATGACCCATCTCTCGGCTCGATGAGTGTTTGCAATCAAATTACATCTCCATGTAATACGAATCACAAACAACGGTGTCAATGCTGCCCTGTGTTATAATTAACCTTGGCTTGCATTCGTGCCGTACCAGCGACCCATAACATACACGAAGCGAGTTGATGACAGGCAACTGCGATATGTTACTCCAGGGGCGTATCCGGGATTTTTGGGGGGAGGGGGGGTTTGGGGTCGTAAAGGGGGGGGGTCTACTGCGTGTAGCTGTCGCCGATGGTGAAGCCGTTAAATCTGTTTATTTTGTCCTAAACCGTACACGCAAACTGAGACCCTATGTGGTTTCATGCTTTTTCTGGGGGTCTTCCAATCTCTTGGCAAGGGGGGGGGGTTACCCCCGTCCCCTCGATCCGCGCCTACGATCAACTTTTGAATTGGCTCTGTCGGTTGCCCGACTTTCGGCTGTCATGTTTTCCTGAGCAATTACAAACTGGGGAAATATTTTAGTGTTTTGAAATAATATTGAGATGTGTGCTAATTTGTGCTGCGAAATTTGGTGTTACAACAATGCCATGGACCACTTTCGATAACACCAGTATTCTGTCATTCCAAGCTTTGAGTATCTCAATTTCTAGCGTGACTGGTATCGCCTTCTTCAGTAAAATGTTTAGATTGTCGTCAGGATTCTACGAGAGCTCATTAGCGCCAAGCAAAAGAATTTTGAAATTCGCAATCTGTTACAACGGATTCCAAATCGAATTTCGTAGAATTCCCACTAGGTTGTTTTCGTGTAGTGCATGTACCTGTACAATAAGTTGAGATGCATGGCGTCCAAACAAAATGTCAGTCACCAACTGATTGGTCGATGTTCGTTACTAAAGAATTACCCGTCAGGCACCAAAACAGCAGCTGCATGCGTCTATCTATTCATTTCTTTTGGAGCACCAGACACCCTGACCCTCTCTAAGCCATTGTAAGTCATTGCACTGCTTACAAAGCTTGCTGAAATTTTTCATTCTTTCCCAAATTCTGTTAATCAATCAAAATCTACCAATATATAAAGATCACACTAGATATTGTAACAAGTTGAATGGAGGAAGGAGGCAAGTTCATTGATCTGTGTCGCTTGGCCGGGAGATGTTATAAAGTCCAGCAATGCGTGGAGTAGGCGCGACCTTAGAAGTGGGTCAAATTATGTGAACTCTCTCGCTAACACGTGGGTCAGTCCGGCGCGTTCAATCACCCTTGCACGATTTGTACGTAGCCTACGTACATGTACATGTACATTGTACTTGTAGAATGCTCAGTATATGTACAGTACATGTACACACATGTACATTGTACATGTACACATACAGTACATGTACAATACATGTGCATGTATGTGTACACATAGGTCTATCGTTGAAGCGCAGGCGTTCATCTATTTACGGACTCCTTCAGAATTTGAAACATTCCATTCGTGTTTGGATACAATTTCAAAGGCATTAAAAAGACAATGATCATTTTTTTGATTGCAAAAATGATTTTTATTCTTGACAAACTCGAGCTAATTGGTGTCAGCAGTAGTTTACGGGACGTAATGACGATCCCGGCCAACTTCGCCCACGGTCAAAATGTGAGGCTCTTAATTTTCCCCGTTTTTCTCTATCAATCAAGATTGGAAGCTATTCTATGGCCATCTCACGCACAGGTATATCTAGTGCGGATCATTTACCTACAACTCCAATTCATCTAAGCCTATCTCTGAATAGATATCATTGTGTTATTACTACAAAGCTTCCATTTGTAATCGACTGAACCAATTTTTTTTGTCCAGCCAAAGTTTGGCATGTGAATTTGAAAACACATATCGGAGTTCCAATCCGATTCGCATGCTATCAGCTGGGAAGCTCTATCTTAATCGGAAGTCCTCAGGCCACCAATTCCCGGATGGCTGACTTTTAACCTATGTTCTTACAGATTACCGTTTTTTTTAAAAAAAAGAGAAAAAAACATAATCACTTCTTGGACAAATTTTTAAGGTTTAAAGAATCATGCTTCTTTATTTTGGTAAACTTAGCATAGTAAATGATTGAGTGAGTAGGCCTACGAAAACGGTGTCTGAAGTCTCTGATAAAAGTTGCAAGTTTTGTGTCGTCAGCTGATTTATTGAGAAATAAACAAACAAAACAAATTCCCCAAAACAGCAAAAAACTGAATAGCATCTATGGCATGCACTTTTTGCATCATGGCTCCATGTATGGTGCGTCACGTTTCAAAGTACAAGATGCAGACGATGACGCCACTGATCTTGGAACACATAGCTGTAAATTGCATTACCGCGCAGACATCATGAAACCTTGACCGTTCGAACTCGGTTTGAAAAGCCGTGTCTCATCTGAGTGGGTTAGTATGGAACGCCGTTGCTCGTTGGTTTCGTTATTTTCATTTCATTTCATATTGGTTTATTAAAATCCATTTTCGCAGTTAAAAAACTGAATTACAATGGATTTAACAATTAAAATAAAAAATTAAACAATTAAAACAAGAATTAAAAAAAATCCGAATTAAATAATTTCAAAAATAGTCAACAACATTTACCATTACACCATTACAGTTTACACTCACAGAAATAAACCACATAACATGACTAATGACCAACACTCATAAGAACACTACTAACACACGTCCGTTGCAATTTACACTGCAAAGATGAAACTATTGTGACCTTAAAAATTTCAATCACATGTAACCTTTAAAATTTCATTCCCATGCAAAAAAAGGTATAATAGAGGGCATTTCTTAAGAGGAGCACAATCCAAATATTTCAACTAAAAGAACTTATTAGAAGGGCATTCCTTCCCATATTTGTATTGCAACCGGATTAAGGCAGGAAGCGCACTGGTGAAATAACGTTTTGTTCGGCAACGGATTTCAAGGATGAATGGTTTATTCCGCAACATTCTTGTATGTTGAGGCGGAAAGAATTCACGAAAAAGGTCGGTGTTGTCAAGGGTTTTCTTGAAAAGGATAATGACATTTGATTACGCCTGATTGCCAAAGAATCTAAATTGAAATGCGATAAATCTTGAGTGTATGACAAATACTCTACCCCAAGAATAATCTTCAACGCACGTTTCTGTCACTGTACTCTTCAAGCCGAGTCACCTGGTGCTGGGTAAGTGCTCCGTTCCACACAGGAGCTGCATATTCCATCAATGACCTGTTCTGATTTTTGGCACTACAACCGGATCTTTTTATGCAAGCTATTACTTTTAGACCTTTTTTCCCCTTCCATTCCCAAAGTGGAAGTCACGGGGTGGTTCATCCATAGTCGTGATGAAATGAGAGCTATTTTGCAACAATTTACAGCTACATTTGCAGGGCGAAAAGATAAAATGAATTCATAATGCACAATTTAGTGCTTAAACGGAATGACGTAATCAATTCGTTATAACGAAATCAGCGCGTTGGCCAGTTAAATTATAAAATCGAATGGTGAAACTACAAATTCGAATCACCGGCGCCGCAAGGAAGGATTGAGTGGCGAAATTTGCCAAATGGAAAGTTGAAATTGCAAAATTAAATTGTATAATAGCCGGATGGTGAAAATGACGCATTGAATAAGAAATTGGCGATTCGAGTATCGAATTTGGCACATCAAATGGCGAAATTGCCAGACTGAATGATGAAATCACCGAATGGACTGCAAAACTTAAGAGAGAAATTAGGGAAGTTCACAACGGAGGGCTACCAGAGATAGCTACGGCGTTCCATAGGTATGATCGCACGATTTACCACTTACCTCCCCCTCCCCAGAGGGGCTCCAGAGGGGGTTCAGAACAAAGTCACTCCGTCGCATAACCAAGCGCAGAAAATTAACTTGATTCGACGGTTTCCCATTCCGTTTGGTGCAGGATGGGCTCATCTGGGGGTTTTTGTTTTGTTTTGTTTTTTGACCTCGAAAAAATGCGGGTCGGGACATAACAGGATATGCGCTCATTTCTGCAGAGATTGGAGTCCCCCATGACTAGAACCAACAGTGCCGTGGAAATGGAAAAGCACGGAGATATATTAAAAAAATCCGGGGAAGAGAGCATAATTAAATTAGTCATCTTGTGTTGTCCAGAACAAAATACGTGTAAATGAATATAATTAAATTACCTCAGTGTTTAGGCTTTCGTGGCGCTTCTATAGCTTCTATCCAGTCGTTGAGGAAAAAAGGGGAATTTTCGCCATCTTGCTAGGATACTACGCAATCGTTTGAAGAAACGGATAGGCCTACCCCAGAAGCACCGCCTGTCTGAGGCTCTTGTTTCCTATACGCGTCTGCTGATGACATTAATTGGGCGGAGTCCGTTTCTTGGCAGCGCCCGAGTTGAAACAGTTTGAGGTGTATGCACAGCTCACATTGGAAATCAATTTCTCCCTTAGAGTGAATCAAACTGATTTGTCAATACATGGTCAATTCGTATTTCAGAGAAGTAGGAAATGTTTTATTGTCCTGTCTGCAAAAGGAATTGCTTGATATTCCGGAGTTGGGAACGCGTCAGTCTTCAGAATCGGTCTAGTCAGCCTATGCTCGGGTTTTTCCACAAATCGGTTTCGTCTTCGTCTTAGAACTTGATTGTCTCTTACTTCGAAACAGCTTGCAGCTCAGTAATATTTGTTCTAAATGAAAATGCCACAGGGTGGAAGTATGCATTAATGTTCCTCTTACGAAACGGCATGGTGTTTTATTGAGTTGACGACTGTAGGCCTACAGCCAGGAAGATAGAATTATTGAGTCTGTGATTCAATCGCCATCACTCAAGGACTCCACGCAGTTCTGCATGACTTGCAACATGGAGTCGACATGCGAGGCTGTTCAAACAGTGGTGCGACCGGGGTAGATCTCGCGTAAGAAGAACCACCAACAGCCGACTAAAATTTCACTTTCGTAATGTATTCGTATGTGATGCGATCTGCGAAAACCCTTCACACGGTGAGCTTTGTCGTTTGGGTGCGTGTAAACTTCCAATCAATATGGACATGCTCTAGTTTTCAGATATAGTCCAATTATGATTCTATAATACTGTCTACAACATGAATCTAGGTTGTCTAGGATCACAGTTATGAAAACAGGGCAGTGTCCAGATCAATCTGAAGTTGATATGCTCCAAATAACAAAGCTCACCATGTGAAGGGTTTTGCAGATCACATCACATATGTTTTTAGATAAAAAGTTTGTTATATGTAATTTTGCAGAGTGTATGCATAATTAAAAACATTTGCTTATCCATGACGGTCGGATATAGTCTATGCTACAACATAAAAAGTATTCGTTCGCCGTTGAATGCACGCAATATAGTAGGCCACCTATTTGAGTTTGTGTACATGTACATGTCATTGCAATGTACATGCACGTGGTATGGCAATCATAATCTACATGAAAGAACTCAGAAGAATAGGAATGCTGCCGTTTCCTTTTTTCCTTATGTTAAAAAATGAAATATATGGCAGCAAAAACAAAATGCAACAAAGGGGAAGTCTCTTGTACAAAACTCAAGCTTTTGAAGACATCAATGAATACCTTTCAAGAAAGGGTTCGTATTAACGCCAACAACTAAGAAGGGACGTGGCTGTGTCCGAAACGGGCTTCTAGAGCTACGACTTGCCAAGCCGTAGCTCTAGAAGGGGCCGAGACCGGGTCTATTGTCTACGCACATTTCCAATGGAGGGAAGACCTAGACCTAGGTCTAGACAACAGATTTGGATGCACCGTGTCTTAATGTTAGAATCAAATTCAGCCTTGAAGTCTTGTCATGTTAAAGCAAATCACAAAATTTACTTCTCACATCATAAATTCAAATTAAAAACAGTCTTGAATTTGCCACTTAATGACGTGATTTTAGTTCGGAAACGCTGAGTAAACTGTGAGAACCTGAGTTTTTTAATTTGGTAAACTGTCTTCTCATGTAAGCTTGATTGGAACACTGATGTACATCGGAATTACACACGCACAGACCTGTCACAAACGATCCAGGCTCATCTGCACAACAGACGCAAAACAGAACGGAAACCGTATATATCAAGTTATTCTATTTCTCACAGGGCCGGACCATTGGTGTGAAAAGTTCCCAGACGCTAAGGGGAAGCGCCAATCACCCATCGACATCGTGACAACAGATACCAAGGTGGACGCGTCTCTGGGACCCCTCAACATCGACTACAGCTCTGCTCGGTGCACCGAGATCTTCAATAACGGCTTCACTTTCCAAGTGAATGCAGAATCCGGTGGCACCAGTAAGAAACTTTAATTTGATGGTTGCTTGTAAGTTGGCTATAGCTGGATATCTTCGAAATTTGAACTTAGTTCAGACTTGGAATGAGGTTATAAACCCACAGTTGACAGACTTTGAATTTTCTTCCACCTCTTAGAAGAAGTGGACACTTCCCGGAAGTATTGTTCAAAAAATGTGTTCAAGTAGCCTTCTCTACCAGTATAGATAATGCTTGCGCTACAAAAACTAGACTCAAGTTCAAATTCTGCCCGCAGTTGTCACTTTAGATTTTTGTTGAGACGGTTGGAGAAAGAAGACTGCCACGAATTCCCCTTACGCACCTCGGCCTATATATATACATCCGTGCAGCATCAGCAATGTCCCTCAGTGTAATAAACACTCTTTCCTCCAAAATGGTCTTTACTTGAACGACTTTCAGATTTGAGCGGCGGACCGCTGTCCAACAACCATCGGCTTGCACAGTTTCATTGCCACTGGGGTAGCAAGGACGGACAAGGCTCCGAGCACACAGTGAATGGGGCACCATACGATGCCGAGGTGATTCAAATGTTACTTGCTGGATTTAAGTACAGTGCGCTGCAAAATTAGAACTTTATTCAAACCTTAATTATCGACTACTTCCCTGTTCAAGTGAGTACGTTTTGTCATTGGTGATCTGCAGTGTTGAGATTTCATTATATTGTGGGCATAGCATGCGTCAAGTCAATCCAAAATTAGCATATGCGGTTCGACGAATTTTATTCCAACACTTCCTGAAAAGTCAGGAGAGATCAAATTACCATATTATTCTCACGATTTCAGAGTGAATCATGGCCAGGTCATTATGAACATGATGTAGAATCGGCAAAACTTTTACACTGTATTCACCCTAAACTACCTTTTCTTAATCTACAAAATACAAGGTCACAGAAAAAACCCACATAGATGGAGAAACTAATCAATTTTTATCCATACATTCACCGTTTTTCTTTATTTTCTATTAAGCTCCATCTGGTCCATTGGAACAGTGATCTTTTCCAGTCGGTAGGAGACGCCCTACCGAAGGACAAGGGCCTGGCCGTGCTGACGGCATTCCTCAAGGTTGGCAAGGAGAATGCCGGCTGGTCCAAGTTGGTGGCGCTCCTGAACAAAGTCAAGTGCAAAGTATGCTATAAGCTTTCCAAGCACTCCTTTCTAGAGCTTGGTAAACGGAGGCACCACAGAAATAGACCTAATAAGCCATTTGCAAGTTAAATTTGAATAAAATCTGGTACACTGAGTTCTTTAAATTCACGTGAACATAACTTGAATTCGCCATATTAAAACCACTGTTGCTATACCTCGTGATTTTGGGCAAGCTTTTGCTTAGTTAAGAGACGCCTTGCAACAACACACTGTCCTCAACGGATAAGAACGACACAAAGGAATCAGTCCATTTCAGAGATGGTGGTCGCTATGCACATTTGAAGCAAGATATGGAACGGAGAGAACCCCCCTGCCTTTGTGTTGGTCATTGTTTGATCGGAATCTCAGGAATTCTTTACAGACTTCTAGGGGGATGTGTTAGGTAACAACAGTCTAAAGTGTGTATAGGAATTGGACAGGTAAGGGGGGTACCCTTCCGTCCCCAATCTTGCCTGGTACAGCTGTGCAAAAACTTGCCCAAAATCACGAGGTATAGTAGTGTCATATACAGTGTCTTTATTATCAGGAGAATTCAAGTTATTACGTTTCTATGCAATCAGATAACACAGTGTTCCAGATCTTATTCAAATTTAACTTGCAAGTGGCTTATTGTTTCAGAGTTCATTTTGCAGTTGGCGGATTTTCCTGCTGTATTTATGCAACACAGTACTATCCATGCCAACCAAACGCTCCCAACCTCACCACCATTTCGTTTGTAAGGCTAATTCTAACGTCATTCTGAACGCATTGGACGTTAGACTTCGTGGCACTTTCATAAAAGCGTTTCCACTGTACCTCGTGCCCGCTGGCGAAAGTTTCGAAGAGGGTTCACTGAAATCGTACAGGGATGAAACGCATTAAACGGACGCCAATACAGAACAGCCAAAAAAGAAGAAAAACGCTCGTTGAAATCAGCATGTTCTTTTTCCATAGAACCTATCTTCTTGCTTGTGAGAAGACAGGCCTTTAGCGCTATGATTCAGAGGGTGCACGTCCTTTTTGAGTTGAGACGTTAAGGTTTCCGCGATACAGGGGTATCTAATTCTGTGATACTCTTTTCTTCGCCGATGTACATTAGTCTCAATCATCTTGTGGCTGTGTGTTCCTGGCTACAAAGTACAGAAAAAGGCAGCTGGTGTTGAGACTCCTCTCTATGAACGGTCGGGCTTGCATTTACGTACCAGAGCACCACAAGCCGCGGCTGCCATTTTGTGCAGCGTACTTCTGATCTCACTATTCCTCATGTAAAAAACAACAGCATCCATCCAGGCGGTGGTGTAATACAGGACATACACGAGATGCCGCGTGTCTGGTGGTATGTTGGTCCCTATGTATACTAGGAACAGGCACGCAATCATGGGGATCCAGCCCACCACCACTATAGCTGCTATGGCCAGGACCGTGGTGAACGACTTGGTGCCGATTCTTTGCGGTGCGCCGTTGGCGAACGCCGGATCCGTCCTCTGTGTCTCCTGCGCGATTCGGCGTGCCTGGCGTCGAGCGATGATCAAAATATGGAGGTACAGAATCAAGATCCCCAACAATCCCAAGAGCATAATTGCCATAATAACGAAAACAATAATCTCTTGTTCCTCCTCTGAGTCGCAATGCAACGCATCGGACGACTTGAAGTCGGCAAAAACATTCCCCAATACGGAAACCATGGTGACCGAACAGAAGACGCCAGCGACAGCCATTTTTGATTTGCGCACCGTCACCAAGCGGCCGTAGTGTAGGCACCAAGCGATTGCGATGTACCTTTCAATAGTTAAAAGCAACAGTGACAGGAAGCTCATGCAAAAGAGCAAATACTTTGCGATGCGAAAAACTGTACACAGAAAAACACCGAAAGACCAGTATCCCACGTACACGTACAATGTGTAAGGTAAAATTACTAAGCCTCCCATAGCCGTGTCGGATAATGCGAGGCAAGACATGAAAATCTTGGTGGTCGGTTGAAGGTTGGACACTCGCTGAATTACAACCAAACAGATTGGATTGACAGACAATATGAGGATGTCAGTCAGAATGTAAAGAATGATGACAACACTTTTCAGTGTGGTCCATTCCCTCTCCCCGTTGTAGTTACTGATGTCGGTTAAGTTGGCCTCCATTACTGCGTTTCTCGTGCCTACCGAAAATCATCCGACCATAAATGACATCAAACGAAGCTGATACCTGTCTGCCTCTGGGCTTGTGACAGTTTGAGCCTGCAACACGCGCTTTAGTGCCTTGTTGGTCTTTCTCGGTCCTTGGCAACTGGAAAAGACGTGTCTTAAAACTCCCTCAACATTACATAATTATTAACTAGTTTAAAAGAAAGTAAGATTTGTAGATAGTGCTCACGAAGCGTTGCTATGGATATGAAGCACGCCCAGTTGAAGTAGTAATTACATGTATACGTGTCTTACATACTCTGATTTTTCATTAAACAATAAACTGATGTTTCCTTATGTTAGTGACTAAGGCTCACTGGGTATGTGAGCCTGCAGATGAGCCACAGACACTGAAGATTTCGAAGCGATCCCTGTAGTGGCATTTAATCCCAAAGGAGCACCCTTTAGACGAAGTAAAAGACAGCCGAAGCAGTGTGTCGTTGTTGACGTTAATGATTCACACTGCCATATTGATTTGATGGAGCACTTGTCCAGTGAAAACGTGAGATTCAACAGCAAATTGCTCCGAGCACGCGAGCTCCTTTCTCAAATCAAAATATCTGACACCGACACACTTATACCTCAAATCATGCTCATCATTGGCGCACGCGCAGACCATGTCGAGTTATACTGTACAAAAAAAAATCAATGTACACTCAAGCTGAGACATTTGATAAAAAATGTAAATCTTTAAACCTATCCTCGGAAATGGACGTTGTTGGCTCTGAAGCTACCGGTGTGGATTTAGACATTAGAAATGAGATGGATTTTCATTCATATCAATTAAAGAACAAAGCATCTTTATGACTGGGAATTTTGTTTTCTGCTTTAGGATGACAAATGCTGTCTGGAAGCAGGGTTCGATCCAACTGTTTTACTGCCAGGTAGGGAGAAACTATAACATCCGAGGCAAGAAAGAGCTGACATTTTATAGGAACGAACCTGATCTTTCTGATTAAATGAATGCATTGAATCTCGGAGTTTTCCTAGTGCTTACAAAATTGATTGTAACAATAGTCTTAACGACTGGAACACGTGAAGCAGCCCTCTCTGGCGTGCACATCTTCACAATATTTAACCATTGTTTGTTGGAAATTCGGTTGCAAGTTAGGGAATTGACAAATTAATTGTTAGTCAACATGAAAAATATTAAACCGTCAAAATCATTTGGTTATATACGTCAGATCAAATTTTTCCCAACATCTTGATACTTCAGAGAATAAGAAGGACTACTGGACTTACGAGGGTTCTTTGACGACACCACCGTGCTATGAGAGTGCACGCTTCATTATCTATCGGGAGCCCGTCGAGATATCCGCCCAACAGGTAACGAAACAATCTCATATGTTGTGCCATTTTTTAAATATATAATCGCGATCCACTACCGTATACACCCCAAAGCCTGAAAGTCCCAGCCCAAACAGCGTCTTGGTCTGAAATGACTGAAACACAACGCGCAAAACCAAGCAGACTGTTCCCTCATAATTGCTAAAGTTTTCTGCGCAAAAAATAAATGTGACTCTTCTTTCCAAACCCAGGCGGCAGACCCATAATTTATCTGGACGATGATACCAATGTACTTGTAAACAACACAACTTAAACAACTTTCATTGTTCATAAGCACCGAAGCTTTTTGCGGAAAAAAATTCAGCCATGCATCACTTTGAACCAGGAAAGTGAACTGTAAGAGGGGGCGAGAGAGATTGTCAAATACTGGAAAATATTACCAAACATTGCAAAGAATACCTACTTCAGCCTGGTTCTGGAATGGTGGTCACTGTATGGGTTCTAGAATGGTGGTCACTGTATGCAGACAATGTGAGAACGAGATCGTAGTGAGGAACACTGGAAATGAAGATAGTATGTTGCCCTATGAGCTGTTGAAATACCACTTTGAGCAGAAGCACCCCTTCATCGGTTGAAATGAGTCAAGTTGGTGAGGAGAGTTCATTTTGTTGATAGCGACGCGACCGTAAGACGTACTTGTCCCAGTCGTTCGTGAACCAGCGAAGTGACATTCTCACCAAAGTAGCCTAGGCAAATTTCGCTTCCTCTCTTGGTGCAACTCAGGGCTCATACAGCTAGGGGAGAATTTACAATAAAACTGGTCCTAGTTAGTATATTTTCGAACACTATTAGCCACAACACACCCCTCTTTCTTTGGTGCAGAGATTGGTCCATTAGACTAAAAGGGTAAATTTTGATTTTGTGTCAAACGAACCCCTGACAGTCACTGGTCTTCTACCCTGCAGATCAAGACCCTCCGAGATTTGCTGTCTTACAAGCAAGGAGGCCAAGCCGAATGTGGCTGTCCCGAACATCTAGGAGACAACTACCGCCCTACTATGCCCCTCAACGGGCGGGTCGTCACAGCGTCATTCCAGGCTTAGTTGCCTTGGTTGGAAAAAAATCGCGGCAAAATGAATCGCGGATGAGACATTGGAAGAATGCTGAGGTGTAATTTTAAATTCCCCATATCACAAGGTAAATCCATGCTCAGTAGAAGCCATGTAACACGCTGTTCATGTCATCTCTTTACTGAACTCAGGAGTAAAACGACAACGTCACTCTCAATAGGGAGGCGGTATTTTAGCTTTGTCTTCTCAACGTTGGTAAACAACCTCGGGTCTGCTGGAGTTCTGGGCTAATTTTGTGTAAGAAACCTTCTGTCTGAACTTCAGAATTTCGTCATGGTCAGAAATTTACTACTCTACTCTGTGTGTGGGAGTTTTAAGATTCAAAACACCGAGATGGTGTAAGATGACTTGCATGTGAATGGAATTATTTAACAAATAGCAAGGAATGAATTTAGAACTACTTTTTGCTTAACGGAATGATTGGGTTCTCGTTGAGAACTTTACGATAGACTGCAACTGTTTTGAATGCTTGATTTCAAAAATTAAAAAAAGATAATTGTTTTGCTGTCGTTTCCCAAATCACCAAATTGCTTTGTAAAAAAGTAAAGAGCGTCCAAAGGACAAATTGAACGAAGCGATATTTCTAAGTTAAACCGCGAGTGAAAACAGAAAAGAAAAACACATCAATATAATCTCGTTTTCACATCTAATGCCTGCTTATTTCTTTTCTTGTAGGGGGTCTTTTTTCTGCAGCTGGCAATCATGTTTAGCCGAATTCAGTCCCTCCTAATGAGTTTTGGACAAAATTAATTCGATATTACATGTATGACAATTACATTCAAATGACATTGATGAAATTATATTGTACTCGTTCAAGTCTTATGTCCAGATCGAAGTCCAGGTCTTCGTCAGTTGTGTTTGGATTTTACACGGCAGCTTTCGTATTAAACCAAATACATGTATTTCACTGTTAAATAAGCAATCCCAACGGACAATTATGCAAGAAGAAAAATAATCTAAAGTCTGGTTTCATAGATAATTAACGATATCAATAGTGGATCATAGATTAAAGTCATGAAATGACTTCAGGTAATAAATGTTTTTTCTAAAAATTTCTAAAAACTGTCTACAGTATATTTTTGCGTTTTACTCTACGGTTTGGCAGCCGTATTGTTAGACATCTATTTTGAACTTTGTGCATATAGCAATAAATCAAGTTCTGTATTTAAGTCTCATCAAATTCTGACAGGTAGAGTTACGCATAGTTAGGTGTTTGGGAAAGTTTGTAGAGCGAGTGATTTTTGGCTGAATTTGCGTGATTAATCAATTTGCAAGCGGCCTTAAGGAATGGACATTCTAAAGGGAAATAAACTTAATCATTGTGCAAAGCAAAATGGAGACTGATGTTGTATTTATGTGGTTCATTTGAAAGTTGATTTCAACATGGAGGTAGTTGTCCCGCAGGTAAAATAGATCTCTTCTTCCAATTCTCATAATATACTAAAGTTCTTGCAGTTTGCAGAAAATTTAATAATACCCTAATATTTTGGTGGCGTGTTTTGTCTCAAAGTATACATTTACGTATTTTTAAAGCATGTATTAGTAATATTATTTAGTGTTTTGATAATTGTGTGAGCTATTTCATATATTGTGAATTATTCTGCTTTTGCACTGATGTCCTGCCAACACTTCTCGTCCTTCCAAGCACCTTTCAGAAAAGGGACGTATAATCGCAGGATGGCGCACTTCTTTGTACTTGTATATTTTTGCGTGGGAACGTTAACCCAACGACCTAGTAACAACAGTGCGTGTATGAAGTTGCTCTTATGATTTGGGCTCCTGGGAACAATGACGAAATTCATATTTTCCAGGCAGGGGTTATTTAAGCCTGGTGTGGGATTTTCTTCAGTCACTGGTTAACAAATAATGATATGAAAATACCACCTAAAATTATTATAGTTTGAAATTTCACTTAATCGTGGATGCAAGTGTTTACTTTGAAATGCGAAAATCCAATCTGGGTAGACTTCACAGAAAAATGATTCCTGCTGAACATCAAAGCTATGATTGGTTGAACTTTTTTTCACATATCTGCGTTTGATCGAGGAATTTGAAATACATTGTTTATCGTAATAAAAGTCAGTTTCAGAGAGGTATTGTTTGCAGGTACAGCATGGAAGCAATCCCAAGAAGAGCCATTGGTGAGAAAAGTCTCAAAACGCGGGCGTTTTACGTATTTCCTTTGGGTAATATTTCCATCCAAATAAATTCATGCTTGTCAATTTTCTGAGTATGTGCAGAGGTGAACCAGCCATACACGCTTCCAAGCAAATTAAAGTATTAAAAATTAACAGACTCAGATCGATGCGGTACATACAATGGATCAATCATTTATATTCGCCTCGGTATTAAAGTACATGTAGTTGTCTGCGTGAAGTACATGTACCTGTTGGCAAACTTGAATACCCAGACTCGTCGATTCTTAGAAGGGTTTTCCTATCTCCATGAACAAATCAAAAATTATCGCGTGCATATAAATTCTCCAAATGTAGAAATCTTCAAGAAGTGTCACAAGAACTTCAATAGGTGTTTGAATATTTAATGGTAACGTTGGAGAAGGAGGTCTCAGTAAAGTATGTGTTTATCCGCAACGAAGGGGATATTCATCTATGTCCTTTGAACTCCCCCATACAGAAGTTGGTATCACCTGGACTTATGCAAATCAATCTCGTCTCATAGGTGACGTTGTACACACAATTATACGGTCAAAATGGCCGCCAGAGACACTTTCTTCCAAACTTAACAAAACAAAATAACTTCGTAATCGTCGGATGGAATGGTATTTACCAGGTGGAGTTGCACAGTCTAGAACTTTAAACAGTATAGAGAAAGCTTAGCCCTACCAAAAGTCGTGACGTTTTGTAACTTATTCATATTTGGAGTCTGTACATGGCCGATGTTGAACCGGCAAAGACCGCGGCCAACGGGCCGACGGCCGGCCCGGGACATCACCGCCTGAAGGCGACTGCAAAGCGGAATCCCGGCAGTGCGGACCCGAAGAACAAGTCTCGTCTGGCGGCGTTGGCACCGGGAGAAAATCTGAAAGAAAGACAGGTTTGTGGCCACTGTAATGTTGTCAGTGTGGTTGTACTTGTAGGCCTACACAGACATAGTTACAACAGTCGGCGATTAAATTAGCGCACATGTAGCGTGATGTAGGGCCTAAGCCAGGGTCCGAGTACCCCAGAATTGCGGGGTCCGACGTCGGACCTCGCAGTTCTGGGGGTAGGGCCGGAGTACTCGGTGTAGGTTTTGTTGGAACAAATGGAAGTGCATGCTCTTCATTGACAGTTTTCAATTTTACTATAAAATGACACGGTTGCATTTTCTTAGTTTTCCTTGTGTATTTTTAAAAAGTTCAGTTAGGGCCTTTTGTTATTTTATTGGGAATTAGCTCACAGTATTTTTTTTAGATAAATAGCCTAAATGTTTTGCTGGCCTGTAATATTTTGAAGTGCAAGCAAGTAGTTGTCTCAGCATGCTCAATGACACATGGGATGTGAAGCTTTTCATAGTTTACATGCTCAATGTCGTTACATACACACACCCAAGCTCAGCTTGGTGTAACAATTTAGTGAAAGTGATACTCTATATTTTCCTTTGCAAGATTCCTGTCCATTGAACTTAATATTGAAAAATTGATCATTGGAAAGTTCGAAATTAATTATATCTCAGTCATGACATCTCTGATCTCAACAAAAAGTCATTGACTTGTACAAGCCTGTAGTTTGGTAAATAGGGTGAGTGTTCATTTAGACCCGTTCATTTACTGCTTCAGTAAACATTCTTTCTAATGGTTCTTTTCACTGTTATTAACAAATTCACGCCAGAGCACTTGCAAAGCGTTGTGTACCATATGTACATGTACATAGGGGTTCACAAGTTAAACCATTAAGCTTGCGTGAGTCTCCAGTGATGGGCTTGTGTAACATCTTAACCTTTCAGGTCATCGCATTGTACTTACGCATACACAAAATGTCTTGTAAGTCTTTGGAAATGATGTGTACATGTCGTACATGGCTTGACCAGCTTTATAAAGTTTGGCATCATAGCCGATATCGTGCTGGGGCCTCGGAGCGTTGCAAAAACTAAAGTTGCAGTGAACAAAATTTTTGAGTAGTCCTCTCCTTCCACCTCTGCGGTCCGGGTTCGATTCCTGGCTCTGTCCACATGTGGATTGGGTTTTCAGTCCCTACCTGATTCCGTGGGTTTTACCCAGAATATTCCTCTGGCGTTTTCCTCCCACCTCTAAAACTGTAACTGCTTCTTATTTCAATGTTTGAGTCTTCAAATATATGAAGTTGGTGCATCTCTTGGAAGAAGAAGAGAAGAAGTGGCTGCCTTAATGACCTGGTTGTGGAGGCCAAAGTAACACCACTTGCAGTTCGTTAATGTTTAAAAACCTAAGGAAGAGGATGGGGTTTCAGAAAACTGCTGCAGAAGAGCCAGTTGAAAGTGAACCCTATAAGTTACACAAAAGCATCCCACACATATAGTGTTTTAAATTGGACACCGGAGCTCTCCGTCAACTAAACTTATCGGTCACCTAGAATAGATGTTTATTGTTATGAGGTGAATCATGTTTACAAATATTGACTTGAAGTAGCCCCAGAGATCGATGAATTGCAGTTGGAGACTTCAAGCCCTTACAAATGAACTGTAGCTGTTAACAATTTCTATTTATTTTCCCCAAAGCCTCAAACAAATAAAAAGTTCACAGCTTAGGCTGACCTACTTTAACATAAATGCAATGTTGGCAAGGGAAAGACATCGGATGAATACGAGGGTAGCCAGTAGTATACTCATATCACATCTCAAAAAGAGTTCGTATTACACCATTCACAAGTGAAGCTATTTTAAGCCCTTAGTGTTGTCAGATTTTGCCGATGAGCATTCTCAAGTTTGATTTCAACTTGAACTGTAAAGAACATTTGTTGGGGGAAAAAGTTTTATTTAAATGAAATGTAATTATTTTGTGTATATCTGCTTTTTTGTGATATAGGATGCAGTATAAAATTCTTGTGGTGGACCCCAAAGTGTGGTTAGACGTACATGTATATTTGTAATCATATGCAATCACAATGTAACAACAGTGATACGAAATTGAATGATTTTTTGGAGGGTAAAGCAATTCTGCCCATTTATATAGAAGCTGAGTCATTCTGTACATTCAGGGTCCAAAAGTGTGACATGTTGGTGTCCCTGTTACACCTGCTGACCTGTGCAATTTGACATCGAAATATCACTGAGATTGTTTTCAAACTATTTCTGTTTGTTTGGCAGGTAATTTGCATTTATTTATTACTCTTGGAAGTTTGCGAATGTGTTCTGAACTTCAGAACTCATACGTCAGATGTGACAGGGACAGAAGAAAATTGTTGAAAGAGCTACACATGTCGGAAGAGTTCAAACAAAACAGGAACACCATGTAGGTCAGAGTTTGTGAGCTTGGGTGAGTTGGAACTTGCAGTTTCCATAAGGCTGTGCAGTATGTGTACATGTAGCTGTATATCAGGTACAGTTGTACTTAGTGGATGAATGCACACTTGCAGTGTAGTCAGATGGACTTGTCTGACGCTTGGTTATCCCCATGCATACATGTACCAACCGCATGTACATGTGGTTCATACAAGTACTTCATTTTTGCTTTGAGGGAAGAGATAAACCCCTTGTAATGCGCACTAAAGGATTTGGTATTAAGTCTCACTTGTGCCTACACAGAATGTGGACTTACATGTAGATCATCTTATCCTACTGTTACTACTTACATGTACATGTACGTCATTCTTTTTGTGCGTAGAAGATCTCGCAGGATTGAATCCTTTATGAAGAATTTTAGGAACTGTCCGTTGTCTGCAAAGATGATTGAGTTTCTCAGAAGGTGTGGGCAGTCCAGTAATTGATTGAATTCCTTGACAGTTTCTGTACACAGTAGCCCATTCACCATCATTAGAAAAGCTCTCACTTACAGTTACATTACTCATATTTAACATCTATCAGGTGCCGGTACTGAGTGTTATGTTTACAGACTAACAATCTCATAGGAAAACATTGATTTTAATCTAACCAGTCCAACATGACTGTGATTGTGCAAAGGCTTCTTAGTCATCAATCTGACTACATGTATCCTTTGAATCTGATAAGATTGAGTGATTTCATTTATGAAAAGTGTACATCCAAAGACTTTAAATTAAGAAATAAAACAGGTTAAGAAATTCATTTTCTTACTACTTGCAGACAAATGATGGTAAAGGTCTGTCACATTATCCACAATTCCATTTCTTGGTACATACCTTGAGTGACATTGTAGAAATTCTCACTCATATTGTGTTGGTCAAATGTTCACCAGAGTGAAGTGCCCTCTACTTGTACCCTAGATAGAAACCAAATCTGGTTTAGTCCATGGTTTGACAGGCATGGTCCAGAACAGAAGAGGTTTCCAGGTTGAGAGCGACTAGCCATTTGGTGTTGAAGCCAGCGTAAGTCTTCACTTACAACTGGAGTTGACTTGTAACAGCCTGACAAAGCCTTCTGACGTGTTAAAAGTGAAGAGGAACCCCGGTTGTCCTGAAACAAAAGCATTCTTGGAAGAGCAGAAAGAAGAGTTCTTGCCTTATGTGTATATATGGAGATTTGTCTATTAAAGCTTCTCAGTTGAAGGGACAAATTTACTTTGATTAGAAATATCCATGTGGTGTAAGTTACACTCCGGCAGCCTTCCATCTATGGCAACATGTTCAAGGTTCATTTAGCATTATTAATTGGTCATTGCAGGCCACTTGGGTGAAAATTTAGTCAGGCATGAAACAGTGATCCCTTGTTGTTGGTTGGTTGGGTAAAGTGAGAAGTTGGCAATTACCCCTTGGTACTTTGGCCTCAGTCAATCAGCCTTTGTTTCATTCTGTGCCCATCCTTTGTTGCTAGTGTTTGGTGCTGTGGTTCAGCGGATTTTGTTGTGGCTTCCGAAGGATTTTTGCTTCATATGAACCTTTGATATTTTGAATTTCTGTCGGTTCTCAAGATGAAGAAGTTTTCCATGTGTGAAGTACATCTACACACACAAGCAGATCATGAGGTATGTTTTGAGAATGTTAAAACAGTTTTGGTTTGGTGACAGTTTCAAAAGAAGGAAAACTTTCTTTGAACGAAAAGTAAAACCTGAAGCACTTATGATGGATGATGTGGTAGCTGCTTGTATAAATTTGTGATTTTTTTAGTTTCTGTACTCTCTCTTTCAAAAAAACTTCATCTTGTCTGCTGCCTGAGCAGGCCAATTCATGTATGTGTAAGCCTACTCTTTGAGTTAAGGTTGACTGAGGAATACCCACTTGGCATGCCCTTTGAATTGAAACAGATTTCTGAAGCTGTTCACTTAGAAAATCTAAAAAATGGCGGACATGCTTATCAAAGAAAATTGACTTTGGTGAGTGCCCTCTGTGTTAAATCGTTCTTTGCTGAAAATTAAGACTGTACATTTATATTTGTTTTTAACAAGAATGCAAATTTCAACAAAAAAGACACATGGAAGGGAAACTGGCACATTAGTGCATGTCTTTACAGTTTATTCAAAAGAATGACAAAATTGACAGTTGTTATTGGGCAGAATGCGAAGGGATTACAAGTTTGTTGAAATGCTGTAGTTGAAGGATGCATAGCGGATTACATGTTTTTGTCATTGAGCTTTTCACATGTACTCGTTGTGTAATCAACCCCAGCAGGAGTGCCCTTGCGGTTTGTTGTGGGTAACCTGGGAGACATGTTTCTAATCTACTGCTTGAGTATTTTACCGTGGGCTTAAAAATCAGGGCTGCCTCACAGGATAATAGGCTCACTATCTTTATGGGCTTGCCATCTTCACCACACATATTGTACATGTACTATGTTGTGACATGAATGCTGCTTTGACAATTTTGCAGGTTCATTTTTTGTCTGTGTAGAAATACAGAGCTGTATGCCATCGTGGTTCTGCTGTGATCAGTATGTGAACGGGAAGTTGTAAACAGTGAGCTGTGGTCATGCATAGTCTTACAGTGTATTATAGTGCTGTGGTGATA